GCTTTAAAAGAATTTAGTAGATGAAGGGCTGTTTGCTTTCTCCCTGGCTGAAGCCATCTATGGCAAGCTGGAGGTTTTTTGGAGAAGGCTGAAGCAAGCCCTGATTCTCAATCTATGCACATTAGACTGGAATAGAGATATGTTCCGCACAACATAATGCACTTTAAGTGGCAAACTGCAACATTCAGGGTTTTCCCCTCTCCTTATTCAGAAGATTGTTGAGCGCAAGACATCACTCCTGTGGACCTCGTACCCATCCAGATGTATATATGTTGCTCATTTAAAGGACTGGGAAACCACAAACAAAAAGCATAAGCCAGATCTACACTACATATGTTTGCCAGCATAACTATGCAGGTCAGGGATGTGGTTTGACTGACATTGCTGTGCCGAGATAAGCTTTGCCAGCAAAAGCAGTTTTGCTGGTATATACTGTCCAGCATTGGAGTGTTTTACCTATACAGTATATGAGCATAGCTACACCAGCAAAGTGTTCCCAGTGTAGACCTGGCCTTAGAGAAGAATCAAGGTTGAGAGTGGGTTTCCCTGCAGTCTAACATCCAAAACGAGATTACATTTTCTAGACAACAAAATCTAGACCTTTTAAAAAGGTTAGAACATCTGAACAAGAACAGTTAAGGGATCCTGTCTGTTCCTCCCTGACATGGAATCCTTCACTCATTGATTCACACACCCGATTAACACTGTCCACCCAACCTTAATGTTGTCCTTTAGAACAGGAGAGAATAAAGCCCTATTTCTTACTTATGGGATCCATTTCTAATCTCCTAGAAATCTGCATATTTCCCCCCCAGATTTTAGGGAGCAACACCAAGGCTGGGTAACTATATAATTCAGATGAAATGACTGATGAAGAACCATCCAGGAGAAGTAGGGGAACAAGGTGGATCCATTAACCCTTCCCTTCAACGTCTGAACTTTTTTACATGGTGTAGAATGCAATCTTTTGCCAGGGGTTGGGGGAGTCAGAATCCATTGTAACATAATTTCAACCATAATTCTATAGCAAAGTTTTTTTTATTCGCAAGTAAGTACGACTGCACAAACACTACCATGAAACTCGCCCCCTTCTCGCCAGTGATGATGAGCTTAGACTCATGGAGGAAAAGCTATTTTCTGTCTTGCTCCTAAAGCACTGGCTTGCTAGCACATCTGCACATTGTTACAGTGATGACTGCCATATAAGAACTTACATAGTGTCGAAAAATAGCATTGACAACAGATCTGGAAAAAAGCTACAGGCTTTTAAAGAAGGCCCAGTGGCCTAATGAAAGACTGCATGTGCACAAGTAAAGCTGGCAAAGCCATTACTCACAAGAGCAGTTTTAGGAATGGTCCTCCAGTCACAGGACCTTTAGCATAGCTGGAGTCACTGATGGACAATAACCTCTAGTATGAGGCAGTGTGGCAAGGTCACAATTGGGCTAATAGGAGGATAAATACAGGAAAATATGGGGATGAAATAGAATTTTTTTAACAACAATACAAGATGATATTCTTGCAACAGAGAGGTTATGAATATTGCAATCTGTACTGCACTTCCTGAAGTAAAATGGATTTATCTTTCTACCTCCCTACCATTTCCTTTTCAGTGAAATAAACTAATGCTATATTGGTTTTTTTTAACCACTGCATGTAAAAGTAAATGAAGTATTACTCAAGTTCTTATTTCTAAGAGACCTCTTTGTTGTATCTACCAGCCTCTTTCACAACAGTGAAATTAGAAAATAAACTTAACAGTGAAACTTCTCAGACAAGATTTTTGAACACTGCTTCTGAGCTATCTCCAAGTGTTTGTAATCTGTAAAGCCTCAGAACAATATAGCCATGTTAACAATTTATCTAGATGCAGTTGTAATTAAGGATTCAGTGCTAATGAAAAACGACACTCTAAACAATTAGGCAAGTGTGACAGACATCCCATATTCAGGAATCTTTTCCGTATTCAGTGTATGGGAGGAGGAATGAATATGTGGGAGTAGTTATCTGAATAAGAAGACTTAAAGAGGACTTAATAGCAAGATCATTCACCACATTCAGAGTTTCAAGCACTGAATAATATTTTCCGACTTATGGCTGACACAAGTTTTGAAAACGACGCATATGGAGCAAATTAGCTTTAAATAAATTGTGTTACATTTTTAATAAACTGATAGCCTCAAACTAATATCTCTTTATTTTAATGGTTATTGAAAATTTCTCAGTTCGTATGTCTAGTGTTTCCAATACTTAATATTTCCAATATGAAAAACTAAGTAGTAACCTCAAAGATTATTTACATCTTATGAAGGAAAATAACTGAAGAAAGAAAGTTGTCAGGCAACCCCTATGGAAAATGAAAAAACAGATTAAAATCTGCCCATCAATTGACAATCTATTAAAAAATAGAGAAGGAATAGAGCGCTTAGATTCTCTTAGCTATTCTTTAGTTTTAGATAAAACTAAAGAATTATAGTAAAGACCTACGCAAGGACTTAGTATTCAAGTAATGCCCTGAACAAGGCAAGGGTCAGTGGTGCCAAAGCTCCACCCAACACTCACTGGTCTGTAAGTGTCAATCTCCACTGGGTGGTGTAGGTAAGTGAGCTGCTTTCATTCATACATTCGACAAAGTGCCCTTGTTTGGCCAGGGTACTGTTTTTTCCCTAATGCTTCCTAATTTATGTAACTCAGGCTATGTCTACACTAGTAGTGCTACAGCAGCACAGTTGCAGCATTGTAGCTACACCACTGTACAACAGACACTTACCACAGTGACGGAAGGGGTTTTTTCGTCACTGTAGTAAATCCACCCCCTCACGAGGCGGTACCTAGACTGATGGAAGAATTCTTCCATCGACCTAGCTACATCTACAGTGGGGGTTAGGTTGACCTGTGTCACACAGCGCATGACATCTTTCACAGCCGTGAGCAATATAGCTTGGGCAGCTTAAGTTTTAGGTGTAGACCAGGCCATAGCGACCTGTGATGGGCTTACTGATTTTAAGTGCAGATTACGATCTATAAAATGGAAAAAAGCCACATGCCAAATCCTCTGCAAATTCAATCTCCTACTGAGAGTTTGCAGAGCTGAAACTCATTGATGGTGGGTGCTGTGATAAAGCCGTGCAATCTTACTTCGCCTTGCTCCCCCAATCCTGCTTGCACTAGGCTGAACAGGAAAAATCTTCTGACTAGTGACCCACTGGATAATTTGCTTACATTTTTGGTGAACAGGGGTTAATAAATGAAAATCATTCCCCAAAGACTGGGGGAGAAAAGTGACACCCCCCTCAACACCCAGTGAGATAATCATCAGCCACTGGAGTCTTCAAACCAAGAGGTAAGAGCTCTGTGAAACAGAAGACGACTTTATTGTATGCAGTGGATATTTTATTACAACCCTGCAAGAGATGTTTTTGCTCTGTGTATGCATTACCCTAAGATAGCCTCTGAAGAGTCCATTTTAGCTTAGATTCTTCTGACCCCCTCAGTGTAACTGAGCTCTAGAAAGAATGGCACCTACAATTTTGAATACATGTGCATCAACAATATTCCTCAGTTTCCCCCATTTGTGCTTTTGCATTAAAAGTAGCGGCCCCATTTCATTACATAGTGCTGAAATTTAAAACTCTGTATCTACTCAAAAATATTATTGAGCCTACCACAGCTAATACCATGGCAAGTGCTAGAATTTTTTTTTCCTCTCACCCCATCCCCCCTCCAGTTCTGGAATTTCCTCCACTCCCTGCAGTGCCAAATGTAGAGAGTTTGTGTACTGGAATCACACAATAGCAACATGCCTGATTACATTTGTCTACTAAAAATCTATAGTGATAATAGCACACAATTTCACTACCTGAGGTGCCAAAAAAAAAATTTTAAACTGCTTTTTAGAAAACAAAATGCCACATACAAGTAGAGCGCAAAAGCAAAACAGGAGAACATAGCCTTGCCAGCAAGATGATGTAGGAATGAGAGGAGTCCATGCCCAAGCAGGGAGGGGGAAAATTGACCTATAGAAAGCAACAAAAGAAGAATTTATGGCAGCTGTGAAGGAAGGGAAGAATCTCTTGTCTTTCACTTGGCACCTTTTCTACTAACATAATGGCAACTCACATTTGAAAAGAATTTGCAACTAGTGCTAACAAAACTGTTTGTAAACTATCCCACACAAATGCTCAAAATGCTCAGCTCTCGCAGCTGCATGATTTCCGATTAAATTATATTGAACAAGTCAATTATTCCATTCTGCACTGCAGATTCCAATATTATCTTTCCCTTATGAAGCAGTGCACACAGTAACAATTTAGCATCCAGTTTCTGGGCTAATGAAAGTGCATCTAGGCTAGTAAAAACAGGCCAAAACAAATCCTTGAATTCAAGTCCTGTTGTGTAATGGGGAAGTTTAATTAAGGCCACAGATTACAGCTGTAAATGTTCTCTTATATAATAAGGTCTAAATGAAACTGAACCTAATCAAAGTTACAATTCCTTCATTAGCAAATTACAAACAAGAGCACACAGCTGACACACCGGCTATGATTATCACAACTAATTGCCTCGTTGTTACAAACCAGCCTGAAACAGTGTTCAGATGTCCGTCTGCAACAGCAAATTAGGGCCACATCAGGCTATTTCTGCTATCACAAGGGGCTCTTGTACAGCGATCTGATTTACCCCTGTCGACTGGCAGCAAACGACCCAATCAAAGCATTCTCTACAAAGGCAGGCTTTGAAGCCAGCTCAGCCTAGAAACATGCTCCATATGCAGGCCGGCAGACTGCACTTCATTAGGCCTGTTGTCACATTTTCCCTCTTCTTATTCTAATGATCCTATTTTAATACACACAGGAACCTCTCCTAATTGATGTCAAGTGAGTGACTTCCACATTCATCACCAGAGCACATCAAACAAATCTTGGCACACAGGCCCAGCATCATAGTGTTTAAGACCCGAGGTGTGTCTCTAACTATAGGAAAGCAAAAAAGCAGCATACCTGTTTAATTGGGATTGCACGGCCACTTCCAATGCTATCTGTTCTGCTCTCCAGGACTTTCTTCTCTTTGTCTGGATCACTCCCTTTCCGAGACTGCAGAGCAAAACGAAAGTTCACACTCTGTTAAACATTTCGGTTGACACAGAGGGGATGCCCTGTTTAAACCATTGTTTTGAATATGTATTTTGAAATAAAAGAATGTAGATCTTAAAATGGTGCGACAATCATGTAATCTTGTTTATTTTATTTCTAAGGTATCTTCCCAATACTGTCCTCCTCCACCTAGATTTGAAAATTTGTTAAGTTTTGAAGTGCTCATATTTCAATTACTGGAAATCAAGAGGTCAGATAGGAAAATAATGCTTACCAAGAGAACACACTTCAGAAACTGCCTATAATAGCTCCAAGGAAGAAAGAGGGTTCTAGCTTCTTACTAAGAAACCCTACTACATAAATGTATATATATTTAAGTAATGTCTGAATGGTTCAAAATGCTATTAACTACTCAACTGTGTGATTCTATGATGCACCCTTGATTATATCAAGTTTCATTTTCCCCCCTATTTCTTTTGAATGGTTACAAAATAGTAACTTCAAAGTCAACCTAGCAGCCGATGCTGGAAAAATCCAATCTCTTTTGGCAAAGTGTAAGAGCACTGAGAAGCAAACTCTCGAATGGGGGAGGGGGGGGAGAAGTTTAAAAAAGTCTGTAAATTGCTTTATTATGATGTAAATGAAATACAAGCTCCACCTATTCAAGAATTGTTTTAGGGGCTGGGGATTTGCAGTGTAATTTTGTCTGGCCATTAAGTAAACACAATGAAATTTAACAAGTACTCTAGATCCTTGTTCTTTACAGTGAGATATGTGCAAGCACAATGATTTTCTGACAGATTTATTTTATTATGAGAGAAGGATCTGAGAGTCATCCTCCTTAATAACTGTGCTGACAAGTGACAACTTCACTCCATTACTTTCCAATGGGAATATTACTCACATAAAATTCAAAATGGGGAAACATTTTCATGTGAGTTTCAAATCGCCAATGATATATGAAATGAATACACTTGTGGTGTCCAGCATCACAGTGGAGAGCTAATGAAAACCAGAGTAATGCAAGATGCTGCTTTGGATTTTCAATACAGTTAAAAAGAGATGTCAGAATAGACACTGAAAATAGGGGCGTAGACTAGAATCATGTATAGAATCATGCTCGTTTTCCATAGTAGGTTAGCCAGCCGGTGAAGGGATACAAGGAAGGAAGGAAGATCACCCAGCACACTTGCCTTGAGGGGGGAAGAGAGAAAAAAGAGAAAGATTCCAAGTAACAGCATTCTACTGAGCACATTTACCTACCAGGGGACCTGTGCTATTCCTGACTCTATGCGAGTAGGCTAGTTACTGTGGTTCAGGGTTGTGAAAGACATGCCAGGGAATTAAATAAAGAATAATTGAGGCAAAGCAAAACAAGTGGGACGGATGAGATCCAATTTCCAGGATAACGAACCATTGCTTCTCTTCTTTAAAATAGATTTCAGGGAGCTGAGGAAGGTAGCCAGTCCATCCTTTAAAAGGGACATTATTAACTTGATACATTTTAAATCTGATTTAAAAAAGAAAAACGGTTTCTGATGGAGCACACCTTAAGTACTATGTACTGATTTAAAAAAAATCTGTATGTACAATGGTTTTTCTGCTCCCCTATACATCTTTGTAAGGGTCTTTTCAGCAAGGGAATTATTAATTGAACATAAAGGGAAAACAGTGAAAGTTACTGTACACTAGGTGCTGTCAAATGCACAAAGTAAACATAATAGATTTTTTTGCTAGTCTATTAGCTAGTTATAATAAACTTAGCTATTATTTTTAACTATGGTAAACACAAAATTTTCAGACAAATGCAAATTTCAATTTGGAAATGGTTCTTTAACTCATCAAATTGTGCCAATGCGGTACTGAGATCCCTAAACAGTGATACGTTTTATATGCTGCAGTATACAGAAACAGAAGTTGACAATGCAGTGGCAGCATTCATAATGAATTCTCTATGTTTAATAGTTTAACTACTCTTTCCTTAGTAGTTCTACTAACATTTCATTAAGGAAGTATAAAAATATAACGAGGAGTCCGGTGGTACCTTAAAGACTAAGATTTATTTGGGCATAAGCTTTCATGGGTAAAAATCCCACTTCTTCAGATGCATGGAGTGAAAATTACAGATGCAGGCATATTTAACATCTAATATTTAACATTTAGCATCTGTAATTTTCACTCCATGCATTTAAAGAAGTGGGTTTTTTACCCATGAAAGCTTATGCCCAAATAAATCTGTTAGTCTTTAAGGTGCCACTGGACCCTTGTTGTTTTTGTAGAGACAGACTAATACGGCTACCCCCGATATAAAAATATAACACCAAAATAATGATTAAACAAACACCACCTTGCACTGGCATTCTATGTGGTCCATTGCTACTTTGGATCAGACACAGCCTGGACAGAATTACAGCGAACCCTTATATCTAAACTTACTATCGTTTCACAATCAGTTATTCAGAATATACTTTCTTTGGTGGAGAAAGTGTTTTATTATGTATGTGTACAGCACCTTCGACAATGCAGACCCAATCCTGATTAGGAAGTCTGGGTATTACCAGAATATCAGTAATAATGAGAAAGAGGTCTAGGAAGGACAACGGCTACACGTACTAATCTTTAAGTGCCACTTCAGTGCTGAAGAGGTAGCGATTTTAATTTAGAATCACTATAGAGTCACTCTTAAAATTGTGCATTATATAATAATGATATATAATATCATTATATAATAATGATATAACTGACAGTTAAGTTCATATGAGAAACCAGATGCTTCTACTGACATTCCATTGGCTGGAGGCTCATTCAGATCAGGTTTGTAATCAGAGAAATAGTTACTATCCAAAGCCAGGTTTTGGATAGGAGTAGTATTAGTCATATAGGTTGAAGTATACCATAGGCAGAAAACCTATGCATATCTTAAATCCTAATATGAGAGCTACAAACAGATGTATTTACTATTAGTGGATGAAATTCAAGATACAAGACACTTGCAGAAATGATGCATTCATTGATCCATTATGCTGTCAATGGAAAAAATAAACACTGCAACAACTCTGATTTCAAAAGTTGATGTATAGCGAAGAGTGAGAAGACCAGTTGCTGCATATACAATAGAATCATAGAATATAAGGGTTTGAAGGGACCTCAGGAGGTCATCTAGTCCAACCCCCTGCTCAAAGCAGGACCAATCCCCAATTTTTGCCCCAGATCCCTAAATGGCCCCCTCAAGGATTGAACTCACAACCCAGGGTTTAGCAGGCCAATGCTCAAACCACTGAGCTATCCCTCCCTGCAATACTGTTACTTGATTATTTTTTAAATTCTTCAAACCCATCCTCACTCTAAACTCATAAATAGGCATGAGGTCACTTCATCCATTTATCATTTAAAACCATTTGGTAGAAGGGTTCCCTTCCCCTCCAATGCTAACTGAAAACTGTGCGGGGGGGCGGGGGAGGAGGAGAACATATCCTGTCTGACAACCCAGTGTCAAGTTTAGTCAAACTGATATAACTAAGATCCATCCAACTAAACCCTTGCCCCCTGCCAAAAAAACCTTCCAAAACCGTAACTAAGTCAGAATTTTCTTATGTTATAAAACTGCAGTGAGAACTGAATCCCTGTTCTTCACCACAGTACTAATGGAAAAGTATCTGCCATCTATTCACTCAATAATATTATTCCAAGTGGCTAGATAGTTGGCATTAATTCATAGAATCATAGAATATCAGGGTTGGAAGGGACCTCAGAAGGTCATCTAGTCCAACCCCCTGCTCAAAGCAGGACCAATCCCCATTTTTTGCCCCAGATCCCTAAATGGCCCCCCTCAAGGATTGAACTCAGAACCCTGGGTTTAGCAGGCCAATGCTCAAACCACCGAGCTATCCCTCCCCCATGGATCCATGCTTTTACACAAAGTTTTTGTAAAAACTGTAGTATATAGTACTACATAATTAAATTACCTTCCATGTGTAACACAAGTAGATCACTTTAAAAGGTGTCTAAAACTTGGTTTTAAGATTATTTATACAAACTTTTATGCCAATTACCTATTACTGGACAGCAATGAACTTTCATGATTATAAGAGGGGTTTTCCCTCCAAAATAAAGGTTTATGCAGGGCCAATAGTTAAACAATATTAAGTATTATTCAATATCAGTAGTGTAATAGTTAATACAGGGGTTTTATCAATGAAAACGGAGGGTTTTGTTTATTATGACTACAGAATATTTATCTTTTTTTAATAAAAGATTTTAAACTTTAAAATACTTTTTTTTGGCAAACAGATTTTTAGTCAGTTGGCTTATAGCAGACAGAGGTTACTTTACATGTTATTTTATAACTCTCTCCTTTAAGATAGGAAATGCATAAAAAAACATTTATGCATCTCTTCTGCCTATTCCAGTTTAGGCCATCCTTGGTTTTCTATATCACAACTACTATACATATAACCATCCCCCCTGTATCCTATTCATATTTAGGACAAGAGCAAGCTGGCAGGCTTTTCTAAATGGAGCTGTAACAGTTTTCAATTGTGGAGTACTTTCAAATTTATTATCCTGCATTCAGTTCCTAGGATGACACTGACATCTAGTGGAGTTAATAATTCACAAGATCTAAATTTAAAAATCAAAACAGACCACTTTATAAAAGGTCAGAGCACAATTCTGACAAGCTTTCAGATACCATTATTTTTTAAAATGCTTTTTTCATATCTAGATATTAATCCATTGTAACTTTAACTACTTGTATGATGTTCTAAGGCCTGTCTATATTACAACTTTAAACAGATTGTGTAACAGGTTGGTACTACACATGATTTGTGTCCAATATGGTTTATACTCTGTAACCATGGCAGGTAACAGTGTTTTGCACTCATCAAAGGTCTAGGCTGGCACATGGCTGTCTTCTTATAAATAATTCAGCATACTGTTTTTCTAAAGACCCCCCCCAGCTGTACGTGCAACCAGTCTGGTCCCTCCTTCCTGCCAGCCAGCGTACACCTTCCTACACACAGCTAGTGGTGTTCTGTGTATGTTCCTCAGGCACTCTGTCCCTTGATGAGGCAGTATGGGACTTCTTCCCAGACGGCACAGACACAAACACAGTGAGGTAGAACTTGACCGACACATGGCTGTGATGAGAAAAGAATGTGTGTGTGGACAGAAACCAACTCTGTTATAACCCTGTCAGAAGAAAGAAAAGGAGTACTTGTGGCACCTTAGAGACTAACCAATTTATTTGAGCATAAGCTTTCGTGAGCTACAGATCACTTCATCGGCTGCTGTAGCTCACAAAAGCTTATGCTCAAATAAATTTGTTAGTCTCTAAGATGTCACAAGTACTCTTTTTCTTTTTGCGGATACAGACTCACATGGCTGCTACTCTGAAACCTGTCAGAATAGAGTTTCAAAACTAAGTACAAAACCACAATTGTATTTGTCTTAGAAAAATGGCACACAATGGAATACTCCTATCACAACCACAATACTAAACACATTAAAATTCTTCAATTATTTACATTTCCCTAAATACTTATGCAGGAACATAGGAACTGCCATACTAGATCTGATTAATGTTCCACCTACTCCACTATCCTGTCTCCTACGGTGGCCAATGTCAGATGCTTCAGAAGAAAATACACATAATTAGGATCTCTCCCAGAATTAAAAGAATGTGATGAAGAAACATGAATTGAGATATTGTATTTTTAAGCCAGTATGGAACAGTTTAGTTTTCTGGTACCATGTATAACTTACCTTGCAGAGACCCCAACTCAGAATTTTCTCTCAATATATACTGGATGCTTCCACAGATGAAATCAGTAGTTTTTTTTTTTTCCTGATCAGTTGTTTTGGACCAGAGGTCCAGAATTCTCATTGCTAACTCAGAAGGTGACAAAACTGGAGAATTTAGGCTTGAACAGAGACACGTGGGAATCAAAGTCATGTATCTATGATATGGAATGTTTAACCTGCTAGGGCTTTATAACATATTGCAGAAGCTTCAGAATATCCTGAACAGAAATTGTTCCACTAGTAAATGATCAGTTTCATAACAGTGAAATACCTGGACCATGTTAGGAAACGTCACTGTGTCTAGATGAGTTTTCCAACATAAAGGAAAACCTCAAAAATCTTCAGACTTTTGCCTTGAAACTAGCAGAACCTTCCTGGTACATCTATTTAGACTAGACTAGCTTGGCTTAGCAGGATCTAAGTTTAGTCAGTCGTCAAACTTAAACAGCAACATTTTCTTCTCTGGGTCACTCACCGTGAAGAGGTTGGAGCGGCGCTTGGACTGTTTACGAACGGGTGTTGGAGTGTTGGCAGTGGGAGGAACATCAATCCGTAGCTCCTTCTGACTGGTGCTTGGAGTTGATGGAACAGAGGAGGAATAATCACTTAAGCTCCCTCCTCCATTACTGGTCTGCAATGATTAAAGTTAGTTTTAACAGTGTTATGCTGCTTTTAAGCAACCTCCAATTCACAGCATTATCTACTTAACCCTCAAATGGAAGAATGGTGTCTTGGCTTACCAAATTAGTGATACCTATCCTAGGAGCACTTGATAGCACTGTTAAACTTTTTTTAAAAAATGCCATTTCCATTCACCTCAGAGAAAAATATGATGTTTCTGCTGCTAAGGTAGATACATTTTCATCTTCCACAATGTGACAAATTCGTTTAAAAACTTGTTTCAGTATGTTGTAAAGCAATACATTTTTCAAGACATATTAAAAATAAAAGCTTGATTTTCCCACTTCAAGTTTGGTAGACACTTGGAGCCACATTCGCCCCTGGTTATATGCAGAAACACTCTAAGGTCTTGCTTTCAGCCAGAGAGCAGGTACGGATTCCAAGTTAAGTTTAGAGACCTCCAGAGACGCATTTTATGCTCACCCCACTCATGTTCCTACACTGAGCCTTGCATACTAAAGTCAATTCTTTCAAAAATGAGCAGCAATCCATCCAAAAAATCTGAAATGTAAAATTTATATATAACAAAATGTTATAGAAACCACCCAACTAAGCAGAGGCGTTTCTAAATGGAGCTGAGTGAGTGCTACTCCATGGAGATATGCTTCTTCAGACAACAAGAACTATAGGTAATTTCTTTTCTTCAAAGATAACTAATCCCGTTGGATTTTCTCTCTTGCAGACAAAGTCACAAAGGAGGACTTTCAAATAAAACATAGAACAAAAGCTAAAATAATCTGTAATCAGCACAAAAAAAAAAACCCAGCCACAATGAAATACCTTGAAGTATGAAAGCAGTGAAATTTTTCTTTAAATTTATGAGGACTAAATTACAACATAAGCAGCAATGATAAGATTACAGTATCATCTAGAAAGTACAAAAGATGGACTCATTTCAATAGAATAAGGACATAGCGAACAGAACTCCAGACGGAGTTGGAGCTTGGGCTCCAACACTGATAATTTAACCCTGGATTCTAAGAAAACACTTGGGAAGTAAGCGTAAGCCTGTGTGGCTACTTAGTTCAGAGGTTACTAGGTAAAGCTGACTTGCCCAGAATGGAATGAGCCTTGACATGATTTTCAAGCTGCAGGCTTCCCAGACAGTAACAATAAAAAATACAATCAGATATACTTTGAAAAGATATGCTTGGTAACATTAAAACCTAATGCATTGTCAAATGAAACAAAAAGCTGGGTGGCATTTTAAGGCCTCCTGTTTGCTCCAGATAAAACCTAGGGACGTTTTCACATCAAGATTGTGGAGTAGTAACTTGCTGGGATGAGCATGCAGGCATAAGATAAATATCTGCAAGGACAACAGGTTCATTGAAGTGTACTGCAACCACCAGCTATGGAAGGAATTTAGGACACATCTGTATGAATGGCTATTCTTCACAGAATATAAGATACGTGTCACCGAAGTCTCATACCATATAATGAAGTCATGCATCTGGAAGATAACCTTCCGCATAATAAATCTGAGCCAACAGTGGCTCAAGATCAGACTGGTTAAGACTTAAATGACCCTACTGCTGTGGGTGGTTAATGAAGTGCCTCACGTTCTGTACAAACCCAACAGAAAAACTGGTCTAACTTTGACACGTTCGTTGCAGCCAAAAACAATTATCAAACGAACAATGAAGATATTTGTCTTTAAGCTATTCAGACAAATGAAAATTTTGTCCAATAGTTTCCACACGGGCCTTTACACACTGGAAAGCTAACCTTTTCAACTTTTAATCTTCTTCTTTAGGATCCTTTCAAGAAGCCAGATGGCTCTGAAACACCTGCCCAAAGGGCCATTTATTTGGATCATTATCCTCTCCCAGAGCCATGAGGATAGGGAGAGAAATTGTCAGCTCTGCTATTGAGCAGTGCCCTGTTCTGAGTCATCAATTTCAGCCAGCCCCAAAAGATGATGAGTTTCCTTATGGCCATCTCTAACAAGATTGAGAACTGTATCTGCTTTGGCAAACATGGGGTTAATAAGATCAACTGAACCTTTGTCTCTCCCAAGACGGGTTAGGAACTGCTGATGCTGGAGATATTGATGGGAAGGCATAGGCAGTTTTACTTCCATATGAAGATGGCATTTCCAGTGCATGCAGGAAGTGATCTTTTCCTGATGCTTTTAGTAGATACTAGAAGCTGTTTGTTCAGGTCAATTACATGTGATAAAAGATTTAATACACTACTAATCCCCAGTTAAGGGGCCATTCACTCAGGTCCATTCCTGGCTGCTTCATCTGCAGTTACACTTTCCTTCCTTGGCAGGAAAGGGGCCACCAGGAATGCCTTGTGGGACAGAGCCCACACCCACAATGGAAAGGCTTCAGAATATATAGTATGATGTTCTCCTTTATTCACTGGAAACATGGTAATCTGATTGTCTGGTTTGATCAGGCCACCACATTTTCAGAATATTGTACTAAGCCCCTGAAGGTCCTTGGTGAATCTAAAAATACTCTGATTTCTAGGATATTTACGTAAAGACTTTACACTTGGAGAAACTGAGTGCCCCAAGTATGATGGACCCTCTGCGTGGGCTCCTCAACTGAATCACCATTTAGCTGCTTTTCCCACAGTTTGAGTTTGAAGAATCTGGAATTCCAAACCTAAACTGAATATTGTCCCTGAACTGCGATCAAATCAAAAAAGCTCATATGTCAACCCACCTCCTTGATGTAATTTGACCATGTACCTTGAGATTACCAATAACCAAGATACAGTAAGACTGCCTCACATACAGACATGCCATGGACACTGCCAATACATCTATGACCATCAAGCCACCCAAAATTTGTAACATGATACTTGCCAATGCCTGCTGGTGTCAAAGACAAACCCTTTTTCTCATACTGTATTTGGGAAGAAAGGACAAGTCAAGTCAAAGCTCCCAGACTCCAATCACAGCTCCTGTATACTCCCACGTGTCTTCTGGTGACTAGCTGTGGGGTCCGACAATTTACTTTGAACTACAGTGACACCAGCATCCCAACAGTGGCTGGGTTGATCCTTGTATCCATTCCAGGGTGACGGATTATTCAAATAGTACAACGTATTCACTAGACATCTTGTGCAGGTAAGTTGCTATCACTAAGTACTTCATAACAAGCAATGCAGATGCCAGGCCAGAACGGTATTCGCAGCAATGTTACAATATCATGAAATTGAGACTCTCCTATCTGAGAAGCGTGCATGTAGCTAGTTGTCTTCCTCTGTAGCGTCTAGAAGAAATATGGTGACCCCGCAACTCAACTGTTAATTCTTCCCTAGCAGACAGTTAATGTATTCTCTAGATCTAACATAGAACAAAGTCTTCCTGGGTTTTAAAGCACCTGGAAGTATTTGGAATAAAATAATACATAATTCTTTTGATAGCATGGATTTGGGGATATTCTTTGCCAGGACAAATTCAGTTTCCTGCATCTTCTATTATTGAGACAGTAGAGTTTGAGTATATTCTTTGGAGGGTGGGAGGGTAAGCCCACTTCCACAGATCAATGTATGTCCTTTGCCTAAAGGGTTTGTAGTTTATAAGCAAAATGTTGCCTTTGCCAACCTGTCACAGTTTACAGCCTGAAACCACCACACCACAAAAGCCCAGCCAGTTTCAGCCACAGCCAGTGACCACCACACATCCAGAGTATTGTCAAGGAAATGGCTTTTTCTCCACTGACTCTGCAAGACCTAGGCTGCAATGAGGATGCTACCAGACCTTCAGTAACCAGCCCAAAGGACAATTTAAGGGCACGGCAAATGTATTTGACAGTGGAATTTGAGCCAGATACTTACCAAGCCCAGTCCTAGACATTTTCTAGATAAACAAATTCACTCAAATACAATCTTCCCTCAATAAGGTCCAGGTGCCTGCTCCTCTCTATATATCTTGCAGACAGCCTTTGGGGTGTGGCAGGGCTTCTCCCTCTTATTAGGGAGTTGCTTTACCATTTCTTCCACCAGCTGCGGATACTGGGGCAAAGGAGAGCAGCATACATATGCCCTGTCACAGGCACACAATGAAGCTCCATAAAAAAACAGTCTGAAAATATCCTGGTGAAAAGACAGCTGATGTGTCCAACAAAAATGAAAAATATTTAGTCATGGCATTTCATTAATGGGGATTAACGAAAGGCTCTGTCAACGGCTACAGTGGCCGAAAACATTTTATGAACTGAATCCCATCACTGAGCCAGGACAGCATCTGACACTGCTAATGGCAGCAAAAGAGGAAGTGACCAGGCAACATGGATACCTGACTGGTGTGGGAGGGAGAGAGAGAAAATGAGACAAAGGCACAACTGTGGGGCCTCGAAAGGTTCAAAATATGAGCCCAATGGCAGCTCTCACATAATCTCACATTAGGTGGATGGACATGAGTGGAATCCAATGAAACATACACCTTTTGAGAAGTATTTATTCTCCAACTTTCAAAATGATTAGAAAAAAGAAAAAGAAAAAAACAAAGTTACAAAGAAGCAGTAAATACTGCAGAAATATTATGAATATTATGATACTGTTCTTAAATATCTCATAATTTTTAATTTATTTTTCTCTTGCCTTTCATACTTGCATTAACATTGAATAGTGTTGTGTTAAGCTGAAAAAAGCAAGGAAACAATTAAACTTGCCTATTCCTAATGTTCCTAAATATTTCAACAGAATGGAATTTTCATTCAAAATGGCACCAAACAAGATATTACAATAATAAATATTGCAAGACAATGTTGCACTATGTTCACAATCTATTTTAAGATCTTTCAAAATATCAGACACAGTAAGTACAAGAAAGATTATAATGTACACTCTTTGGAAAATTAAATTTAGATACTGGGGAAAGATACACTAGCATACAAAGTATGGGACTGTTACGAGCATTAAATGTTATGCAGGTATCCAGTTTGTATACATTATAACACTGATTGCAAATTAGTAATGTATTTCAGCATAGAAGGCAGCAGTTTAATTTTTTACCTCGTACTTTCTGGCCGTCAAACAATTTACTGCAATGTAAATAATTCAGCAAACATTCACAGTAATGTCACTAAAGGTGTATGGTTTCAATTGAGCACTGGGGAAATGGGTAATAACATTGAATGGTGGTGCCAAATTTGAGACTGAAGTGTGTTAACTGTTGAAATGTACCAACTACTGTTCAGTGTATGATTAAACCAGGGCAATGACCAAAGCACTGAAAGCTAATTAAAAAAGCAGAACAGCAAATCTTGTGACTATAACAATCCCTCCACTCATACCAGCAGGCTGCAGAACATAACCAGCATGACCAAGAATTGTTTTAAAGCCAATTCCCAATAAAAATGTTTTGTCACAGCAGTTACTTAAAGCAAAGTCGAGCCAATTACGAACACACTGTTTTATACTAGAGATCGCAGTAAGCTTTTAGAAAAATCTAACTGCTGACAAAGCAGCAAAAAAAGTAATGGCTTTAAATGCACTCTGACATTCCATCATTTTCTTTTCAATGCAAGCATTCCATTCTGTACCTGGCTGATATGTACAGCAGAAACCTGGGCAGAACACACAGACGAGTGACTTGGAGAGTTTGGTAAAGATTTGCAGGGGCCTATTGAAAGCTGCTGTTTCTTCCTTGTTGCCACAATCTTCTGGGCAACTGAAACAAAAACAAAAAAAGAGATAATCATGTAAATGATTAAGCAAAAGTGTAGGCTTCAAGGTATCACAATTCAAACGTGTACAGAACACAGACAAGAACACAGGCAGGAAACAATTCTAAACTACTAATCTTCAAGGTCTGAGGTCCTAAAATCAAAGCTATTACTTCAAAAAAATCTAAGCTGGCAGACTTTATTATTTTGTTTTTCTGTGGTGTGCTCATCATTGTATCCCTGTGCATTTATTTCAGTCAATGGATATTTGAAAGTCAGCTTCATTCATCTAAAACATAAGGGAAACTAGAAATTCTTACCCATTTCTGATAATGGGTAGCGCTTCAAGGGTTCTTATAACAAAGGAAATGTTAGCGCATGCTAGCTGCACTGAGTATGGTTTTGGCTTGTCTACACTTGCAAGTAAACAGACAAAGGTAGGGTGTAAATTTAAAGTGCAATAGCTATTCCTGAATAATTCCACGAGTTTACACTCTTACTCTGAAACAAGAGTGCCCTACTCCATTCTGCTAAACACAAACAAGGCACTCTTGTTCTGTAACAAGAGCGTCCACACATGGAGTTATTCAGGAACAATTACACAGGAACCCATCACGTGGAGACAAACCCTTAAAGAATCCTGGTAAAAACACCTTTGTTATGCTTATAACACACTGGTGCAGGGTTACTAATTGATAATGGGTATGGAAATTTCTACTATATGTGCAACCCTAAACAGCACAGAATTCTCGAAAATTCACTGTTAATACTTGAAAACATGAGATGCTCACTGTATAAACAATATTTACATAATAAAACACAGTATCACTCCTGTTTATTAAACCAGTTTTAAAACAGGGCCACCATATACCACTAACTATGTCATGTTATTTTATGTAATTTCACCTTTTCCTGTTTATTTCCTATGGCAACTAAATTATTTCATTTGAAAGAGGGGATTAAAGGACAAATTGTTACAGAATATAGCTACAGAAACTGCTCCATAATGAACTATAACCTCACATATGTTGTGAAGAGGTTAATATTTCTTCCTATATGGGGAAGGGAAGGGAAGAATGGGGAGTGATTCTGAGTAAAGTGAAAACACAGTTTCTATTTATTTGGTTTTTCAGCTGGAATTAAGGAAAGGAAAAGGAGAAACCACTGTTGCCCTGATTTTCATATGTGCAAAAAATCTAGAGCTCCTACGAACTTGAATGAAACTTGGGGATCAAGAATTAGGCCACGTTGGCCAGTCAGCTCCCTGAAAACCACCACCTGTGGCCAGGAACCAAAATTTTGGAACCCTTGCATTACTATATTAAATAAATATTCATTTTAAACTATTACAAAAGGTTAGTCAGTTGGAATGATCACTAGCTACTGTGTCAAAATGGGAGGAGAGGTGGAAGGGAGAGTGAGAAAGAGACTTAGAACTTCCAAAAAACCCAAATGAGGTCAGACACATAACGAGCAGTTATTTACGATGTACCATAACTGAGTTTTTCAAGATGTGTGGTCGGTACTCAACTGTGTGTGCACATGCGCTCCATGCACCTGAGACCAGAAGACTTTTTTGCTAGCAGTGTCCATTGCTCTATGCCTGCACCCATCTCCTCCTTGTATGCCACTCCAGTTCTTTCTCTACAATGAATTGTATCCAAGATCCAAAGCAGAGGGGAAGAGATAGTGGAAAATATATAGCAACCACATTTTTTGAAGAACTCCAGTTAATGTACAAGGTAAGTAACTATGCTTTCTTCTTCAAGCGAATGCAACTGACAGTAGGATCAACTTGCAGCAAGGCTAGCAAGGAGGCCTGTGCTCTAGCATAATATCACAGCAGAGGAGCGTTTGTCAACTCATAACAGGAGAATGCACTCTGACATCCACCTGTAAAGCCTTTGGGAGGGGATTGCTTCCCGTCTCATCAATTCTGAGAAAGATATAAATAGTCTAGATGATTTTTTACATAGTTTTGTTCTTTGTAGGTAGAACACCATGGCTAAATGGATGCCCAAGAAGTGAACTCTTCTGTCTTCACTAATGGCATGAGGTTTTGGGAAGAAGATAGGTAGGTTGACTGACTGATTCACATAGAAATCCAAGATCACTTCAGGAGAAAACTTAGGATGTAGTCTCAGAGCCATTTTATCCCTGTGAAAGACTGCATATATGGTGAGCTCCCTGTTAATCCACCCTTCTATCTGAGGTGATGGTCACTAGAATGGTGACTTTCATGGCTAAATGGGATAAGGCGCATGAAGACAAGAGTTCCAATGGAGGTCTTGTGAGAGTTGAGAGCACCAAATTGAAATCCCATGTCAGAATGGGCCTACTCACAGGTGGAAAAGTTCTAACCTGGCCTTTCAAAAAACATATGGTTACAGGAGGGTAAAAACAGGAGTAGTCAATCAGAGGATGACAGGCGAGATGAGCTAATTGAGAGACCCAAGGTCTTTAAGAATAAAAGACACTCCAAAATAACAGGGATGTCAGAGTCCTCAGGAACTGACGATTGTGTTTTCACTTGGCTGTGTAACATTTCCTAGTAGACTCTTTTCTAATATCGTCTTTAAACTGCTTCCAACCACGTATTTTCCATGCTGACATCTGAAGATGGTTGGAGGCTCCCCAGGCCATCTGGGAGCAAAGCAACACAACCAGTGCCCCATGCTGCCTGAACTTCCTCAGAACCTGAGGTAAGAGAGCAAAAAGAAAAAGGAGTACTTGTGGCACCTTAGAGACTAACCAATTTATTTGAACATAAGCTTTCGTGAGCTACAGCTCACTTCATCGGATGCATAAAGTGGAAAATACAGTGAGGATGTTTTTATACACACAGACCATGAAAAAAAAAAAAGTGAGGATGTTTTTGTACATACAGACCATGAAAAATGGGTGTTTATCACTACAAAAGGTTTTCTCTCCCCCCACCCCACTCTCCTGCTGGTAACAGCTTATCTAAAGTGATCACTCTCCTTACAATGTGTATGATAATCAAGGTGGGCCATTTCCAGCACTGTATTTTCCACTTTATGCATCCGATGAAGTAAGCTGTAGTTCACGAAAGCTTATGCTCAAATAAATTGGTTAGTCTCTAAGGTGCCACAAGTACTCCTTTTCTTTTTGTGAATACAGACTTACACGGCTGTTACTCTGAAACCTGAGGTAAGAGAGGAATGCCTGGGAAGGCATACATAAGTTACCCTTACTAGGGAACTAGGAGTGCATATTCTCCAGAATCTTAACCCTGCGTTCCTGCACAGCAATACATTTCACATTTCCTGTTTCCGGGGGATGCCCAAAGGTCCCAGGATAGGAATCCCCACATGTTTACTATGAAACTGTGAATCTCCCATTCACAGTCCTGGGAGAAATATCTGCCAAGGCTGTCTGCCAGAGTGTTGTTCATCCCTGGCAGGTATGCTGCCAACAGGGCGATTTGTTGGGGAATACATCAGTTCCAAAGCTTTATTGCTCCCAGTTAGCTGATGCAGAACACTGTTGACATGTTGTGTGACATCATTTGAATAGGTAGGAACTGAATGATGGGATGAAAATGCATGCAGGCTTCACAGAGTGTCACAATTCTAGCAGGTTCATGTGCACCCTGGTCTCCTGTGTAGACCATGCCCCTTGTGGTGTACGCTTGTGTAGGTGAGCACCCCAGCCGAACAGCCAAGCATCTGTGATCAGTGTCTTCTCTGCTGGGGCAGGGTGGAGGGAGAATAACTAGGACCTGATCCTTGTTTTCCCATCAGGATAGAGAACCTCTCATACTTGGGGGAGCTAGACTAGCTTGCTCATACTATTTCTGCTTGGGGAATAAACTGACCTGAGTCAGGCCCCCAGACAGGGAAGATGGAGCCTTGTGAAGGGGGTCACATGTGCAGGGAAACCATGTGACCCAGAAGAATGAGACAGAAACAGACATGTGCCTGTAGCTCAGTCTAAGTTGAGCACCAAGTTCCTTTATGCACTAGAATTTCCCTTGGCCCTGATAAAGAGTCCAGAGTGCCCCCCTACAAATTCTATATGTTGGATTGGAATCAAAATGGGCTTCTCTGTATTTATGCATAATCCCTGTGATTGTAGAAGGTTGGTCACAGTTGATGCCAAAGCCTCCTGGTAAAATTTCCGCATCAACAGCCACTTATCGATGTAGGGGAAAACTGACAACTGACATTGTGGCATTGGAAGTGAGCTGCTGCTACCAACAGTATCTTAGTAAATAATTTTAGTGATCTCATACCACCAAAGGTGAGTGCCCTATATTGGTAGCAGCTCCTGTACACAGTGAAAAAACATTTACCTACCTTTTGTAACTTCAAGATGTGTTGCTCATGTCCATTCCATGTTAGGTATGCATGCGCCGTTCCTGCTTGCCATCAACTCTGACAGCGGGGACAGAGGGCAGGTCACGGAATGGACATGAGCGACATCTTGAAGAACAGTTACGAAAGGAAGGTAACCATTTTTTCTTCTTCAAGTGCTTGCTCATGTCGACTTGTATAAGTAGGGGCATAGCGAGCAGATCGAGGGACGTGATCGTTCCCCTCTATTCGACATTGGTGAGGCCTCATCTGGAGTACTGTGTCCAGTTTTGGGCCCCACACTTCAAGAAGGATGTGGATAAATTGGAGAGAGTCCAGCGAAGGGCAACAAAAATGATTAGGGGGCTAGAACACATGACTTATGAGGAGAGGCTGAGGGAGCTGGGATTGTTTAGCCTGCAGAAGAGAAGAATGAGGGGGGATTTGATAGCTGCTTTCAACTACCTGAAAGGGGGTTCCAAAGAGGATGGCTCTAGACTGTTCTCAATGGTAGCAGATGACAGAACGAGGAGTAATGGTCTCAAGCTGCAGTGGGGGAGGTTTAGATTGGATATTAGGAAAAACTTTTTCACTAAGAGGGTGGTGAAACACTGGAATGCGTTACCTAGGGAGGTGGTAGAATCTCCTTCCTTAGAGGTTTTTAAGGTCAGGCTTGACAAAGCCCTGGC